TGAGACAAGCGGATCATAGAATCCAAACTGGAAACAAACACAAGCCTCAGATGACATGAAAACAGCTCTGCAGGCTTCAACCTCAAACCTGCAGAGTTCTAAATACACTCTTGATCGTTTTCAGCCAGGAAATACATACTCACACAAAAGAACATGCACATTTAATACACAGACCTAAATTTAGGAGCCTCTTTGAGCCACACTCCTCCATCTTTCAGACTGCAGTATTAAATATTTTTACATGACTTATCTGGACAACTCTGTTCTGAAAACAATTTAACCCTCCTCCTAAAACTTTAAAGCAACTAGTTTTATTTGTAGGTCACTTTAGCAATCATATATCAAAAGCTTTTTATGTTTTTTCAATTCACCCAGGTAAGAAAAAAATCTTTTTTAACCTTTCCTCGTGAAGAAAAAAAACGACAAAGGCTACTTGTTAAAGCCACGATATCTTTCAGCCTCCTTTTCTTATCTTAACGTTTTTTAAACAAAGGTTGATTACATATTTTTATATGACAGACTTACCGGTCTGATAGATGTCCACTAATAAAAGATCCAATAAGTGCCCCCACAAAGAAGAAAGAGGTGGAGAAAGGGACTTTCCATGCATTGTCGCACACAAGATCCCACTTCAGTTAAAAGGAGAGAATATGGTTATTCGGGTTACGTTCAGATAAAAATAATAGAATAAAGTGAGTTTATTTCGAATACATGAAGCAATTTTTACATGTTTTAGCTCTCGAAGTCTTTTAATGTCACAGCCATACGAAACAATTCGTGTACTACAGGCTGACTGTCAGTGATCATTTAGGCAGTACTGAACCTCAGAAACGATGGTGGTGGTGTATTTGTCAGTGCTGAAAACCCAGCCGTCCAAACACTGTTCTGTGTCATTGAAGCCGGCTGCTTTTTCTGTCCAGTTTTCATTGAGCTTGTATCGAGAGCAGCTGCCCGGTCCCATCCAGCTGCCCCGGTCATGGAAACCATTCTCCTGTTCCCACTCTGTGCCGTTGCGCGTGGAGCTGTTTGGGCTTCTGCAATAATGTTCGGGTGTATCCGAAACAAAAACCACAATTACACCCATGTATCCTGCGGGCATTGTACTTACACTGAGCAGAACCATAACGAGAATTTGAAAGAGCCCGTAGTCGCCCAGAAAAGACGTGATTTCGTCAAAGTCTCTGATATTTCCATTTGACATGCTCGCAAAAAACCTGGAGGAGCGCAAGTGAACTGTTTCTAGAGAGTTGCTTTAAGATACCTTATGCAACATGTCAAACCAGACACGCCGTGCATAGACGTGTTAGAAATTAAAAAGAAAGAAAGAAAGAAAAAGAAAAAAGAAAAGCAGACACCTGCAGACTGTAACTGTACTCTTCAGTCATTGAATTGCTTTTGAACCTTTCATCCCACAAAGCACACTTTTCCTTCCTGGTAAAACTGGAAGGGCAGCTTTTAACGCTTGCACAAGCGTATTTGGCTTATGTAGGGATGTCATCTGCCACTAGACTACTTCTTTCCCTTACACATACTGATAACTCCCTGCTCGCTGAATGCTCGATAATCAATCGGGATTTCGGGATTAGTTATATTGCGGACACATCTGCACAGCTGTCTTATAAACGAATCTGTTAGTTGTCAATGTTAATACCAAGCCTAGTTAGTCATAACAAGCGTTCACATCAACGTCGGAATAAAATGTATGATTGCCAGGAACTTCTCTTCCCACATGCTGCCGCAGGGTTAGAAACCATAAACACTGACTGTGAACGCAGAGAAACACTCTGTTCTCAGTTTTCCTGCTCCGTGCATCAAACACCAGCTCTCCAAATCTCAGTTCGTATAAATCCAGACTAAACACGTTTTTTTT